AATAACACTGTTAACACAGTAAGTAATAGATACATACACGTGGTTTGCGTGTTCGACTCACGGCACGGCACTGTGTTGTATTTTTGAGCAATATACTTTATTTCGCTTATTCCAGTCTACTCAGCTGTAAATGAGTACATGTACGTGGATGGGCAGAGCTAGAATTGTTGAATGATAGCTGTGAGCGCCGCAATGGCAGCACTGGCTGTATGCTCCCCAGGGAGTCGAGAAAGATATTGGCTGGTTGCAAAGGCTCTATAACCACGGATAATAATTATTTGTGAAGGTTGTGATATAGCGGTATATAAGAACCTCGACATATTATTATTATTATTAGATAATACATCCAAAATTATTGTGATACAGTACATTTGTTACACGTTTTAATACATATAAATCAATATGTTGGCTTTATTGCAGGTTTGTTCCGCCATGCTGATTATCGGCGGAATCGTTATCACTCAGAGCAGATTCGTAACCGATTCCCGGTTGCTGCCAATTTTTGAGAATATGCGTTTTAACAACTACTACCTTCCGGGTATCGTACTTGGTCTCGGTATAACAATGATTGTGATTGGCTGTTTAAATGGTATACCGTGTGGACTCGGGTGCAACATGCTGTGTTTCAAATCGGCCACACAATCGACATTGGTAGGACAGTTAATAACTACTCTCTGAACTTTTATAACTATTGCTATTTTATTGTGAGTACTCTTACACTGACACAGGGTAGATATTTCTAATTGACTGGCAATATATGTAACCATATCAACTGAAGACTATTCATTAACGGGAGATTTAAGTCCATGTCAACAATGTATATAAGTCGATACCATCAGTAGATGTCAACTCAATATCGGTGATACATTGAAGTTGATATCATCAGATTATGTAAAATCAATGTCGACAGTAAATTTATGTTGGTGTCAACTCGATGTCGACAGTAGAAATATACATCGAAATTTACTTAATATCAATAGAGGACAGAAGAAATAATTCAATATTAACTCAATATCGACAGTAGATATAAGACGATGTTTATTCGATGTCGACAGTGAATATAAGTCGATGTTTACTCGATGTCGACTGTATATGTAAGTAGATGTTTTCTCGATGTCGACAGTAGATATAAGTCGATGTTTACTCGATGTCGACTGTAGATATAAGTCGATGTTTACTCGATGTCGACTGTATATATAAGTAGATGTTTACTCGATGTCGACAGAAGATATAAGTATATGTTTTCACGATGTCGACAGTAGATATAAGTCGATGTTTACTCAATGTCGACTGTAGATATAAGTCGATGTTTACTCGATGTCGACTATATATATAAGTAGATGTTTTCTCGATGTCGACAGTAGGTATAAGTCGATGTTTACTCGATGTCGACTGTAGATATACAATGTAAGTCGATGTTTTCTCGATGTCGACAGTAGATATATGTCGATGTTTACTTGTTATCGACAGTAGATATATGTCGATGTTTACTTGTTGTCGACATAAGATATATGTAGATGTTTACTCGATGTCGACAGTAGATATAAGTCGATGTTTACTCGATGACGACTGTATATATACGTCGATGTTTACTCGATGTCGACAGTAGATTAAAGTCGATGTTTTCTCGATGTCGACAGTAGATATAAGTCGATGTTTACTCGATGTCGACTGTAGTTATAAGTCGATGTTTACTCGATGCCGACAGTAGATATATGTCGATGTTTACTTTTTGTCGACATAAGATATATGTAGATGTTTACTCGATGTCGACAGTAGATATAAGTCGATGTTTACTTGATGTCGACAGTAGATATAAGTCGATGTTTACTAGATGACGACTGTATATATAAGTCGATGTTTACTTCTTGTCGACAGTAGATATAAGTAGATGTTTACTCGATGTCGACTGTATAACACTTTGAGTTGGTAGGTCTACTTAGAGGATGTTCTACACTTTGAGTTGGTAGGTCTATTTAGAGGATGTATAACACTTTGAGTTGGTAGGTCTATTTAAAGGCTGTATAACACTTTGAGTTGGTAGGTTTATTCAGAGGCTGTACAACACTTTGAGTTGGTAGGTTTATTTAGAGGTTGTGCAACACTTTGAGTTGGTAGGTTTATTTAGAAGATGTGCACCACTGTGAGTTGGTAGGTCTATTTAGAGGCTGTATAACACTTTGAGTTGGTAGGTCTATTTAGAGGATGTACAACACTTTGAGTTGGTAGGTCTATTTAGAGGCTGTACTACACTGTGAGTTGGTAGGTCTATTTAGAGGATGTACAACACTTTGAGTTGGTAAGTCTACTTAGAGGATGTAAAACACTTTGAGTTGGTAGGTCTACTGAGAGGATGTACAACACTTTGAGTTGGTAGGTCTATTTAGATGATGTACTACACTGTGAGTTGGTAGGTCTATTTAGAGGCTGTACTACACTGGGAGTTGGTAGGTCTATTTAGAGGATGTACAACACTTTGAGTTGGTAAGTCTACGTAGAGGATGTAAAACACTTTGAGTTGGTAGGTTTATTTAAAGGATTTACAACACTGTGAGTTGGTAGGTCTATTTAGAGGCTGTATAATACTTTTAGTTGGTAGGTCTACTTAGAGGATGTTCTACACTTTGAGTTGGTAGGTCTATTTAGAGGATGTACAACACTTTGAGTTGGTAGGTCTATTTAGAGGCTGTATAACACTTTTAGTTGGTAGGTCTACTTAGAGGATGTACAACACTTTGAGTTGGTAGGTCTATTTAGATGATGTACAACAATTTGAGTTGGTAGGTCTGTTTAGAGGTTGTACAACACTTTGGGTTGGTAGATCTATTTAGAGGATGTACAACACTGTCAGTTGGTAGGTCTATTTAAAGGATGTACAACACTTTGAGTTGGTAGGTCTACTTAGAGGATGTACAACAATTTGAGTTGGTAGGTCTGTTTAGAGGATGTACAACACTTTGGGTTGGTAGATCTATTTAGAGGATGTACAACACTGTCAGTTGGTAGGTCTATTTAAAGGATGTACAACACTTTGAGTTGGTAGGTTTATTTAAAGGATTTACAACACTGTGAGATGGTAGGTCTATTTAGAGGCTGTATAACACTTTGAGTTGGTAGGTCTATTTAGAGGATGTACAACACTTTGAGTTGGTAGGTCTATTTAGAGGCTGTATAACACTTTGAGTTGGTAGGTCTATTTAGAGGATGTACAACACTTTGAGTTGGTAGGTCTATTTAGAGGCTGTATAACACTTTGAGTTGGTAGGTCTATTTAGAGGATGTACAACACTTTGAGTTGGTAGGTCTATTTAGAGGCTGTATAACACTTTGAGTTGGTAGGTCTATTTAGAGGATGTACAACACTTTGAGTTGGTAGGTCTATTTAGAGGCTGTATAACACTTTGAGTTGGTAGGTCTATTTAGAGGATGTACAACACTTTGAGTTGGTAGGTCTATTTAGAGGCTGTATAACACTTTGAGTTGGTAGGTCTATTTAGAGGATGTACAACACTTTGAGTTGGTAGGTCTATTTAGAGGCTGTATAACACTTTGAGTTGGTAGGTCTATTTAGAGGATGTACAACACTTTGAGTTGGTAGGTCTATTTAGAGGCTGTATAACACTTTGAGTTGGTAGGTCTATTTAGAGGATGTACAACACTTTGAGTTGGTAGGTCTATTTAGAGGCTGTATAACACTTTGAGTTGGTAGGTCTATTTAGAGGATGTACAACACTTTGAGTTGGTAGGTCTATTTAGAGGCTGTATAACACTTTGAGTTGGTAGGTCTATTTAGAGGATGTACAACACTTTGAGTTGGTAGGTCTATTTAGAGGCTGTATAACACTTTGAGTTGGTAGGTCTATTTAGAGGATGTACAACACTTTGAGTTGGTAGGTCTATTTAGAGGCTGTACAACACTTTGAGTTGGTAGGTCTATTTAGAGGATGTACAACACTTTGAGTTGGTAGGTTTATTTAGAGGATGTACTACACTTTGAGTTGGTAGGTCTATTTAGATGCTGGACTACACTGTGAGTTGGTAGGTCTATTTAGAGGCTGTATAACACTTTGAGTTGGTAGGTCTATTTAGAGGATGTACAACACTTTGAGTTGGTAGGTCTATTTAGATGATGTACTACACTTTGAGTTGGTAAGTTTATTTAGAGGATATACTACACTTTGAGGTGGTAGGTCTATTTAGATGATGTACTACACTTTGAGTTGGTAGGTCTATTAAGAGGCTGTATAACACTTTGAGTTGGTAGGTCTATTTAGATGATGTACTTCACTGTGAGTTGGTAGGTCTATTAAGAGGATGTACTACACTTTGAGTTGGTAGGTCTATTTAGAGGATGTACAATACTTTGAGTTAGTAGGTTTATTTAGAGGATGTGTGACGTAAGTAAGATATGTTTTTGTTTGTTTCTATTTCAGAGTCTAACCTGGCAGGTTGTTATGGTTATATTGCTTACTATTGGACTTACCTTCTGGATTTACCTGCTGCGAGTGGTGAGTTTCTCTGATGTTAATATGGAACTTTGGGATATCCAGTCTATGTTACTTCAGGAATAACCAGGAATATGTTTGGGGTTGTGTGGTATATACCGGAAAACTATGTGAACTTGATCATCTATTACGAATTAATTTAAAAAGTCAAACAACACTTTTTAATTCAAAGTTAGTGAATATTTATTCATTTCTGAAAAGAAAACCACGAACAAGTCTTCCATTTCGGATCAAGCCAAAATAACGTTTTTTTTGTTTGTTTGACATATAAAGTCTTTGTTTGTAGTACATTGTCTATAATACTGTGTGTGTGGTACATTGTCTATAAAAATATGTGTGTGGTGTATTGTCTATGATACTGTGTGTTTGGTATATTGTCTATAATATTGTGCGTGTGGTGTATTGTCTATGATACTGTGTGTGTGGTATATTGTCTATGATACTGTGTGTGTTATATTGTCTATGTTACTGTGTGTGTGGTATATTGTCTATAATACTGTGTGTGCGGTGTATTGTCTATGTTATTGTGTGTGTGGTGTATTTTCTATTACACTGTGTGTGTGGTGTATTGGCTATGTTACTGTGTGTGTGGTGTATTGTGTATGACACTGTGTGTGTGGTGTATTGTGTATGACACTGTGTGTGTGGTGTATTGTGTATGACACTGTGTGTGTGGTGTATTGGCTATGTTACTGTGTGTGTGGTATATTGTCTAAGATACTGTGTGTGTGGTATATTGACTATGTTATTGTGTGTGTGGTGTATTTTCTATGATACTGTGTGTGTGGGGTATTGTCTATGATACTGTGTGTATGGTGTATTGTCTATGTTACTGTGCGTGTGGTATATTGTCTATAATAATGTGTGTGTGGTGTATTGTCTCTGTTATTGTGTGTGTGGTGTATTGTCTATGTTATTGTGTGTGTGGTGTATTGTCTATGATACTGTGTGTTTGGTATATTGTCTATAATACTGTGTGTGTGGTATATTGTCTATGTTATTGTGTGTGTGGTGTATTGTCTATGATACTGTGTGCGTGTTATATTGTCTATGATACTGTATGTAAGGTATATTGTCTATGATACTGTGTGTGTGGTATACTGTCTATAATACTGTGTGTGTGGTGTATTGTCTATGTTACTGTGTGTGTGGTATATTGTCTATAATACTGTGTGTGTGGTGTATTGTCTATGTTACTGTGTGTCTGGTATATTGTCTATAATACTGTGTGTGTGGTGTATTGTCTATGTTATTGTGTGTGTGGTGTATTGTCTATAATACTGTGTGTGTGGTGTATTGTCTATGACACTGTGTGTGTGGTGTATTGTCTATGATACTGTGTGTGTGGTGTATTGTCTATGATACTGTGTGTGTGTTATATTGTCTATGATACTGTATGTAAGGTATATTGTCTATGATACTGTGTGTGTGGTACATTGTCAATGATACTGTGTGTGTTATATTGTCTATGATACTGTGTTATGTACATTGTCTATAATACTTTATATATTTTACATTGTTTATAATACTTTATATGTTTTACATTGTTTATAATACTTTATATGTTTTACATTGTCTATAAAACTTTATATATTTTACATTGTTTATAATACTTTATATGTTTTACATTGTTTATAATACTTTATATGTTTTACATTGTTTATAATACTTTATATGTTTTACATTGTCTATAATACTTTATATGTTTTACATTGTCTATAAAACTTTTTGTATGGAACATTGTCTATGGTACTATACAAGTTGTACCGGTTATATACTGACAGGTTTACGAAGGCATGTATTTACAACTGTACTGGGAGTTTTTTGCTTACGGTGGGACTTCATACGATCAGATGTATTATACCAGAGCCTGGAATTCCCTGTTCGTCACGGTGAGTGCTCCTGATTGTTGTAACAAGATATATCGGATGCTCAGAATAGAGGAAAAAGTCATCGATATGATTGGAAGGTAAATGAGTTTTCTTTGAAATCTACCAAGCCCGGTGTGTCTATAGCTTATCGGTATCTGCTGCACTTGTTTGGAGTTCATGTGAAAGTCGCGGAATAGGCATCATGTTTACTTGACAGATGTCTTTTGATTAAAGCTGACTATATGTAATGGCTGGTTTTAAGAAATCTAACGTTTGCCATGACCATGTTATAACCTTTACCATCAAGCATATCTATTTAGTTTATTCAATAGTAAAAGTTTCAAAGACAATTCCTTACTCGAAAATAACTTAAATGTATCAGATGTTTAGACTTTGAAATTAGAATTTACAATTTAGAACTGAAGTGGTGACGTTATGGAAGGTGTATCGTTGTGTGTTGACGTTATAGAATAGTGTATCGTTGTGTGTTGACGTCGGGAATAGTGTATCGCGAAGTGTTGACGTGTGGAATAGTGTGACGTTGTGTGTTGACGTTATAGAATAGTGTATCGTTGTGTGTTGACGTTATATAATAGTGTATCGCGGTGTAATGACTTTATAGAATAGTGTATCGGGGAGTGTTGACGTTATAGAATAGTGTGTCATTGTTTGTTGGCGTGATGAAATAGTGTGTCGTTGTGTGTTGACGTTATGGAATAGTGTATCGTTGTGTGTTGACGTTATGGAATAGTGTATCGTTGTGTGTTGAGTATCGTTGTGTGTTGACGTTATATAATAGTGTATCGCGGGGTATTGACGTTATAGAATAGTGTATCGGGGGGTGTTGACGTTATAGAATAGTGTATCGGGGGGTGTTGACGTTATAGAATAGTGTATCGGGGGGTGTTGACGTTATAGAATAGTGTATCGGGGTGTGTTGACGTTATAGAATAGTGTGTCGTTGTGTGTTGACGTGATAAAATAGTGTATCGTTGTGTGTTGACGTTATATAATAGTGTATCGCGGTGTATTGACGTTATAGAATAGTGTATCGGGGGGTGTTGACGTTATAGAATAGTGTATCGTTTTGTGTTGACGTGATAAAATAGTGTATCGTTGTGTGTTGACGTTATAGAATAGTGTGTCATTGTTTGTTGACGTGATGAAATAGTGTGTCGTTGTGTGTTGACTTGATGGACTAGTAAATCGTTTTGTGTTGACGTTATGGAATAGTGTATCGTTGTGTGTTGACGTGATGGAATAGTGTATCGTTGTGTGTTGACTGTATTGAATAGTGTGTCATTTCGTGTTGACGTGATGAAATTGTGTGTCGTTGTGTGTTGACCTTATATAACAGTGTTTCGTTGTGTGCTGACATTATGGAATAGTGTGCTGTTGTGTATTGACGTTATGGAATAGAGTTTCGTTGTGTGTTGACGTGATGGGATAAAATATCGTTGTGTGTTGACGTGATGGAAAAGTGTATCGCGAGGTGTTGACTTGATGGGATAGTGTATCGCTGTGTGTTAAAGTTATGGAATAGTGGTTCATTGTGTGTTGAAGTTAGGGAATAGTGTATCGTTGTGTGTTGACGATATTGAAGAGTGTGTCTTTGTGTGTTGACGTTATGGAATAGTGTATCGTTGTGTGTTGACGTTACGGAATAGTGTATCGTTGTGTGTTGACGATATTGAAGAGTGTGTCGTTGTGTGTTGACGTTATGGAATAGTGTATCACGATGTGTTAACGTTATAGAATTTGATATCGCGGTGTATTGACGTTATAGAATAGTGTATCGGGGTGTGTTGCCGTTATAGAATAGTGTATCGTTGTGTGTTGACGATATTGAAGAGTGTGTCGTTGTGTGTTGACGTTATAGAATAGCGTATCGTTTTGTGTTGACGTTATAGAATAGCGTATCGTTTTGTGTTGACGTTATCGAATAGTGTATCGTTGTGTGTTGACTTAATGGACTAGTAAGTCGTTGTGTGTTGACGTTATAGAAAAGTTTATCGCGTTGTGTTGACGTTATGGAATAGTGGGTCATTGTGTGTTGACGTGATGAAAAAGTGTGTCGTTGTGGGTTGACGTGATAAAATAGTGTATCGTTGTGTGTTGATTTTATGGACTAGTAAATCGTTGTGTGTTGACGGTATAGAATAGTTTATCGCGGTGTGTTTACGTGCGGAAGAGTGAATCGTTTTGTGTTGATGTTATGATAGTGTATCGCTGTGTGTTGACGTTATCGAATAGTATATCGCGGTGGATTTACGTTATAGAATAGTGTATCGCAATGTTTTGACGTTCTGGAATAGTGTATCGTTGTGTATTGGCGTTATAGAATAGGGTATCGTTGTGTGTTGACGTTTTGGAATAGTGTGTCATTGTGTGTTGACGTGATGAAAAAGTGTGTCGTTGTGTGTTGACGTGATAAAATAGTGTATCGTTGTGTGTTGATTTTATGGACTAGTAAATCGTTGTGTGTTGACGTTATAGGCTAGTGTATCGTTGTGTGTTGACGGTATAGAATAGTTTATCGCGGTGTGTTTACGTGCGGGAGAGTGAATCGTTTTTTGTTGATGTTATGGAATAGTGTACCGCGGTGTGTTGACATGATGGAATAGAGTTTCATTGTGTGTTGACGTGATGGGATAACATATTGTTGGGTTGTTGACGGGATGGAATAGTGTATTGTTGTGTTTTGATGTTATGGAAAAGTGTATTGCCGTGTGTTGACTTGATGGGATAGTGTATCGTTGTGTGTTGACGGTATTAATTTGTGTATCGCAATGTTTTGACGCGTTATAGAATAGTTTATCGCGGTGTGTTTACGTGCGGGAGAGTGAATCGTTTTTTGTTGATGTTATGGAATAGTGTACCGCGGTGTGTTGACATGATGGAATAGAGTTTCGTTGTGTGTTGATGTGGTGGGATAACATATTGTTGTGTTGTTGACGGGGTGGAATAGGGTATTGTTGTGTTTTGATGTTATGGAATAGTGTGTCGTTGTGTGTTGACTTGATGGACTAGTAAATAGTTTTGTGTTGACGTTGTGGAATAGTGTATCGTTGTGTGTTGATTTTATGGACTAGTAAATCGTTGTGTGTTGACGGTATAGAATAGTTTATCGCGGTGTGTTTACGTGCGGAAGAGTGAATCGTTTTGTGTTGATGTTATGATAGTGTATCGCTGTGTGTTGACGTTATCGAATAGTATATCGCGGTGTATTTACGTTATAGAATAGTGTATCGCAATGTTTTGACGTTATGGAATAGTGTATCGTTGTGTATTGACGTTATAGAATAGGGTATCGTTGTGTGTTGACGTTATGGAATAGTGTGTCATTGTGTGTTGACGTGATGAAAAAGTGTGTCGTTGTGTGTTGACGTGATAAAATAGTGTATCGTTGTGTGTTGACGTTATGGAATAGTGTATCTTTGTGTGTTGACGTTATAGAATAGTTTATCGCGGTGTGTTTACGTGCGGAAGAGTGAATCGTTTTGTGTTGATGTTATGGAATAGTGTACCGCGGTGTGTTGACATGATGGAATAGAGTTTCGTTGTGTGTTGACGTGATGGGATAACATATTGTTGTGTTGTTGACGGGATGGAATAGTGTATTGTTGTGTTTTGATGTTATGGAATAGTTTGTCGTTGTTTATTGACGTTATGGAATAGTGTATTGTTGTGTTTTGACGTGATGGGATAATTTTTGTTGTGTTGTTGACGGGATGGAATAGTATATTGTTGTGTTTTGACGTTTAGGAATAGTATATGGTTGTATGTTGACGTGATGGAAAAGTGTATTGCGGTGTGTTGACTTGATGGGATAGTGTATCGCTGTGTGTTGACGTTATCGAATAGTGTATCGTTGTGTGTTGACGTTATAGAATAGCGTATCGTTGTGTGTTGACGTTATAGAATAGCGTATCGTTTTGTGTTGACGTTATAGAATAGCGTATCGATTTGTGTTGACGTTATGGAATAGTGTATCGTTGTGTGTTGACTTAATGGACTAGTAAATCGTTGTGTGTTGACGTTATAGATTAGTGTATCGTTGTGTGTTGACGTTATAGAATAGCGTATCGTTTTGTGTTGACGTTATGGAATAGTGTATCGTTGTGTGTTGACGGTATTAATTTGTGTATCGCAATGTTTTGACGTTATGGAATAGTGTATCGTTGTGTGTTGACTTAATGGACTAGTAAATCGTTTTGTGTTGACGTTATAGATTAGTGTATCGTTGTGTGTTGACGTTATAGAATAGTGTATCGCGTTGTGTTGACGTGATGGAATAGTGTATCGTTGTGTGTTGACGTTTTAGAATAGTGTATCGTTTTGTGTTGACGTGATAAAATAGTGTATCGTTGTGTGTTGACGTTATAGAATAGTGTATCGCGTTGTGTTGACGTGATGGAATAGTGTATCGTTGTGTGTTGACGTTATGACATTGTGTATCGCGTTGTGTTGACGTTATGGAATAGTGTATCGTTGTGTGTTGACGTTATAGAATAGTTTATCGCTGTGTGTTTACGTGCGGAAGAGTGAATCGTTTTGTGTTGATGTTATAGAATAGTGTATCGCGATGTGTTGACATGATGGTATAGAGTTTCGTTGTGTGTTGACGTGATGGGATAACATATTGTTGTGTTGTTGACGGGATGGAATAGTGTATTGTTGTGTGTTGACGTTATGGAATAGTGTATCATTGTGTGTTGACGGTATGGAGTAGTATATCGTTCTGTGTTGACGTTATAGAATAGTGTATCGTTCTGTGTTGACGTTATAGAATAGTGTATCGTTGTATGTTGACGTGATGGAATAGTGTGTCATTGTGTTTTGACGTTATGGAATATTGTGTCATTGTGTGTTGATGTTATAGAATAGTGTATCGCCGTGTGTTGACTTTATAGAATAGTGTATTGTGGTGTAATGACGTGTGGAATAGTGTATCGTTGTGTGTTAGGTTATGGAATAGTGTATCGTTGTGTGATGACGTTATGGAATAGTTAATCGTTTTG